AATATAATCTGTAAATCAAACGTTCACTCCTCTCATTGTTTGTTTAAAACAAGTAGTGTGTAATAATACTTAGGCATATAGTATAGTCGACTGTTTACAGATGAATTTTCAATGGTTTTTAATAATTAACTATGTGATAGTTTAAAAAAACGATTAGTCGAAACTATTTCGTTGAATGAATTTTCAATTTTCGTTAATGTTCAGTGAACATGTACGAGGAGATTATTCATATTTTACTGAACACATTTCAAATGGAAAGCAAAAAATAAACAATCAATCATAACGTCATATCCACCAGAGCATTCGGAACAAATGTTTAGTGTAATATTGTTAGGAATCGCAGTCGCCCAATTTAATGTCCAACAGCCGAGATCATTCGATTTGTCCTTTTTTGCGAATTGTTATTAGGTCAAATTTAAAAACCTTAGAGTCTCTTTCAATGGTTTCCAAAATGATGTCTGCGCGTCATTTAACAGTTTCTGTTTTTTACACGCACGTCGAATTCACTACAAATTTTTTTTTTTAGTTTTGTTCTGCTACCGTTTTTTACGTCATTAATTTTTATTAGGCGTGTAAAAACCACGCATAATAACCAACGTCTGCCGGTGCAATGATTTATACATATTTTTTGGCACCCCTGATCCACCGATTCCCATTTCGGGAGCAGATGCGTCTGAACTACCAGAAGGTGATTTTTCCGAGTACCCGTGACTGATTGAGAACGCACACACAATGCCTCCTCCATGACCAATCTTATTAGTTCCGTTTTCGAGCACTTGACCTAAGTACACGCACCCCATTGACTTTTTTCGCTATGTGCACGAGATACGTACGGCAAACAATTACCTACACGGTCCTACGTCGTTTATGTGACATACAGATATAATTACATCTGGTTCCAGATTCTACGTAATCAATTAGCCGTGACGAATTCTTAAACTCTTCTACGCGATTATCTGCCGAATTTCACAAGTGTGAAATGCGCATCATTTTTCCAGTGCTGCCACCGTCAGTCTTTGCAATCAATAGTCCTGCTAAAATAACTGCTGCGAAGCGTTCTCATTTTATGAAATCATTCGCTAATTATGGTTAGTGCAAAACGCTGACGATACCGAACAAAGGACTTGAGGAATACGATGATGACAATCACGCGTTTGAATATATACGCACGAGAAATTAGACTTGTGAAAAAGTGAACGATTAGGTTGTGTTTAAAATAAGACATTTCAGATCGACAGGCAGACGGGTCAACAAAAACAATAAAAAATGCATTACACACGCACAAAGATACAAAGTAGGAAATGAAAACGAAACATTGATACTCGTTATTAGTTTCTTGGAATTTCACTGGTACATATTGGAGCGTGAATAATTTTTTATTTACAATTCATATATTTCTTCGATAAGAACAAATTGCACGCGTTGAGATAAATTGGCTTATCGTACACGAGGAATCGAAAATCATGTGTTACGGTCACGACTTTGCATTGATTTTCTCATAAACAAACATAACCCTTCCTTTTTTCTCAAACGTAACTGAAAACTCTGTACGGTTCGATGGTCATTTCAGGTTCTTCAGTAACGATTCGTAATATTATAATCGCCAAGGGAAAAAAAACAATGAAAATTTCAACGTTTAATGATAAAAACGAATTATTACGGTCTGTGAAGATTTTACTGTATACTAAACAATCATAATTAATACTCATGGCAATTACTTAAGAACAACTTTCACGATATTAATTTTTTAATTAATGTCAATGTTTTTCCCATATAATAATACAAAAGTACACTGTGCATCAATGACCGTTTTCGCTGAGGTATTTATTTCATATCGGCCGAACGCAGTGAAAACTATTTCGAAAAGACTCGAGTGGTGTCTTTAGTATTGCTAATAATTAACAACACTAAACACACTCTGGTTTTACCCTACAGATAATGTCAATGTTATCTATAAAAACACGTTGCTGTTCATTATTGTTACCCCGTTGTCATTGGTGGTTTACTACCGATAATAACAGTAATTATTTTTGCCATCGACGACCTGCAATCTCTCGATCATCACAAGGATTGAGCGAGAAAGCAACCAATGCTCTCACACGAGGGCTCTTCCGGTATTGTTGTCAGGCCCCATGCCGTTGTCGAACACGAGTCGCGAACAAATAACAAATTGGACGCATATATTCAACTGTATGCAGTACAGGTGTTGTTCGAAAATCCGGCGATAAGTACAAGGAAAACTTGTCGCGTTCAAACATAAACAAAGAGTGTCTATAATGACCAGTGTACAATCGAGTATACCCAAGTGGTTAATGGAAGACGTACACACGTGCCCCCAATTACTGTTAATGACCGGGCTGCTGACCCGCGGACTTTCGGCCACTGTGTACTGGTTATTCCAAAACGAATGTCCGCTAATGGCCAATTCCGGTGATCAATCAAACGTATTGTAAATAGAAACTCGCAAGTGTCAAGTTGCCGTTTGTAATGACCCCACGTCTCTATTGATGAATAATACTTGTATGCTTAACAACCGTTGAGTATTTTTGTCCTTATTTAATAAACGACCATCATCGAGTAATAGAAATGTATTTATAGGGACAATTTTCTAGTGCTCCTACAAAATACCATTTTTCAAAACTTCAATTCATAACTGTAACTGTAATATTACTGATGATACATTTCTAGGCGACCCGTGTAAAAACACATGGTTTTTTTACCATGTCGTTCCCAATGTATAGCTATTCCGCTATATTATTCAATATACATACTGGCAGACTACATTCAAATACAAAACTTTCTTCGAGTCTTGAAACTATTATTATAATTTTACAAAAACTAGTTTACGCGCGAAGCGAAATTCTTTAAAATCGTTATTTTTAAACGTTTTGTTTTGGCCGTTACGGCATTTACGAGGAAAACCGATGAATTATTCATGTGTTCTAGGAAATATTCCCATTTATTACCTCAAATTTCAATTTTTTTACTCGGAATTCATCACTTTTTTTAATCAATTTATACTTAATTACTTGTCTCCTGGAAGTCACGAAAAAAAATGTTCCATTTAACGTACTACCTTAATGTATTTAAATACCGAGAATAATAGTTTCATAGAATATTTCATTTTATGTTAACACCAACTCCAGTTAAACCTTGACATCTGCAACAGTACGAAGAGTAATTGATATATCAATTATTCATTTACATAATATGTAAATATATTATAGGGCGTTCAGTAAGTAAAATAAATTTCAATTTTTTGTTTTATGGTTGCAGTTGTATCAAACATAAAATTATGTATACTAATATAATAATAAATTACATAAATATTATAATAAACCCTTATCGTACTTATTATTTCTCAAATATATTGGCAGTGTACTAAATATCAATGAAATGATAAAATAAAAATTTAATTTAATTTTTTAAATTTACAATACACCCTGAGTATAATACTGAGGCTGTGGACTTTTTAACATATGCTCTGAAACATAATTTTATTATAGTATTCACTCGTTAAATTTTAATTTAAGAATATCATTATATAAATCATATTATTATATTATGGAAAGATTTTTTTGAGCGCCTCTGAATATTGGTACTGAAAGTGATTATAACGTTAACCGCCTGTTGCCACGGGATAAAAGATATGTTGCGACGGCTTGCAATTGTACAAATTGTTTTTTATCTATTATTGTTATTGCATTGTTCCTTTATGTTTAATTTCCCAGCTGTACGTCAATTCAATTAATAGCCGGCGGAACGGGTTTAAATACTTCACCAGTGTGTAAACTATCAAATACATACTTAAACCCATTGATTAGGCATAATAATGAGAGGAAAACAGAACACTACCCGCCAATGAAAAGGAGAACAAAATAATTGTTTAAAAAACACATACCTACTACCGTTTATGGAACACGCAAACGCGTCGGACATATTTTTGTTCGTGATAATACTATTCTGTTGTTAAAAAAGTAATAATAATAATCATAATAATATAATTATTAATAGTTGATTATTAGTTTTTTTATAAAAAATTGTTTTTGTTGTTGTTGCATTAATGAACACAAGTCAAACGGCGGTCGTGTGTGTATTTCTAAAAGCGTAATTTGTATTGTCCGAGCACACGAATTATTATTAGACTTGGTATACCAACCTACTGTCATGGTACTGGTAACGTGTCCACAGCGGCCACTGCATTGTAACCCCAACGGGACAGTTTGTCCGCGGCGTATGTAATTATCGAAGGATTGGTCACGGGACACTGGGACACGGTCACCGTATGTGCTTCCGAATGATTTCTCTGCTCTTCCATAATCGTCCTCAGACTGTCGGAGAAGAAAAGCCGTGTGCTGTTACCATACTTCCTCCTGGATTAATTACACTGGCCGTTTTCCAAGTCACGGCTAACACGCGGTCTGCATACGACTCTAATTATACAAACGGATTGTATTTAATAATCGACAACCTATGTGTTCAATTATAGTTTACTAGGAACGACCGTGTGCACAAGCTTAGCTTATCGAAATTGTATTCAAACATGTGATACTAAGTACTCGTGCAGATTATGACAGGAAGTTTAGATTTCTTTCATTACTCGAAATAATTATTTAATAGTGCGCTTATTTGTATGTGTAATTATTCTACACGGTTGGTCGTTCGTTGAAAGTTTATCGAGTCTAATTATTGTAATGTATGTGAATCTATTCGTCCGCCATTGTGTTTAAAATTTCATTTTTAAATAACAAAACGAGTAAGAGCGTGCGATAAGACAAAAAGAAACGTCTTTAGCACCCCGAGCCAGAATCTTGGATACGCTATTGATTTTTCCCTTGAGTATATAAAAAAATACAATTTTATGCTATGTCTGATAACAATATTTTCTCATCAATCAATCCTATTACTTAAATAAAAACTTAACTCCGAGTTTAAAAATTTAAGTTAATTTTTCTTTAGAATAAAATTATAGATATGTCAAAGAGGTAATAGAGACAAAAAAAAAAACAAAATTTTATCTGTTTTTAAAATTATTGACCTTTTTTATTTAGAAAATGTTCGAAAACTACGGGTGTACATTATACTATTTTGTTTATAACTTTTGGTTCGAACAAACTTCTTGGCTGATGGATTTTATCATGTAAGCTTCCAAGGAATGTTTGATGAAGTGGGGTAAATTTTGATGCATTACAGTTTCAAGGTTTTGTGATAATTGGCCGTTGCAATTAGGTTGAAGACCATTGATGTTTACGTCAACTTTAACTTGACGGCATTGGTCGTTGTTGACAGTCTTGACAACTACTACATTTATGCCAATTTTGTTCGCGTTGAAGTTACATGAATTGGCTTGAACTTGTTCTCCGTTATAGTTCAATAAAAGGTCACCAGTCCATTGAAGGTTGTTCAAGTCAGTGGTGAAGCGTAATTTGTAACTGTTGGTGTTTAAGTAGACAAAGGACATTGAGTCAATTTTATTGTTGTTGACGCTTAACAATTGAGAACCAATGTTGTTTAATTTCAATTGAAGATTGTTTTCAACCCAGCTCATGTCGTACAACTTACCGAATCCACCAGTTTGAACAGCATCGAAAGGAGTAATAATTTCATTTTTGAGGTTTGCTAATAATCCCTTGTAGGTCGAGTCATATATTGCACCGGCAACGGTCTTTTCTAAAACGCTCAGGTATTTGTTCTTTATTGGCTCGTAGAGATCTACGATTTCGTGGCCTTGTGAGTCAGTAACGGACACATCAGCATAATCGACTTGAGCAGGTTTGACGACTCCTTGAATTGAACTGAAACTGGAAGATATGTTACAATGAATGTGGTTCATTTGGACGGTAAATTGTCCGTTTTGAATTTCAGGCAAATCGGTTTTATATAAACCAACGGTCGAAAGTTGGTTGAATTTATACTGAACATGAACGTTGTCATAATGTGGGTTAATGTTTAAGTATTGTAAGTGACCACTTTCGATATTCTTCAGTTGACAACTTTGAAAATTTACGAAATGATGTTGGCTACTTGATAAAGGAGACATTTTGACGACCACTTGGTTAACAATAATTGGGTTTTGGATATCATGGACACCAATCAAGTTAGAATTTTGATGTTCCAATGCAATCATTTTTTCCAAAGTAGCAATTTTCCTTACAATACCCCTGCCTAGATTTGGGGTTTGATTGATGTCGATGTCGTTCTTTCCCCAGGTTTCTGTGTCGACATAAGTGTCCAAGAAACTGTAGTCCTTTTCGTACATGTTGGGGTACCAGTAATTTCCACTGTCGATGTTAATATTTTTGTCTACGTTGTTGTTGATGTTCGTATTATGAAGATTATAATAATTATCAGATTCATCATTAACTAACATATATTTTTGGGTTTCTTGAGTGTTCATCCATTCTAAAAATATTAAATATTTCATATATAAACGTTAGAGTAAATTAATACGCGATAAACGATAATAATATGATTAAGTATCAATATCAGAAAATTTATACGGGCGTCCAAATAACTCTTAGAATAAAGAATAACACCGCTACTACAGTTATGTGTACACGGGGGTACAGAACCATGTCATCCCTCCCGTAAATAAGCCATTGTGAAGTATAATAACACTAAAATGGCTAAGTTAAATTTTATTCAATTAACTCAATCATTAATATAGTTGAGTCAAGTAAAGTTCAAAATAATTATATTTAGTAAAAAAAATTTAATTATAGTTTTAATTATTATTAATCAAATACTTGAAATTGTTTTTAAACGTAGCATAGTAGAAAATTTTCTAATAAAAACATTTATATTAACACATTTAAACTTAATAAATACTTACGTCCAGTTCCACTAGATCTTATGATAGTGCCTTCGATGGCTACAACAGCCACTAAGACTAAAGCTATAGATAATGATACCTGCATTTTGTTTCTATAGGTAAAATCAGACAAAATTAAAACTAAAATACAAGTTGAGATGCAGACATATTTATATGTTTGAAAAATTGATGATTCCAATTATTTTATTGAAGTTTGAGATTGGTACATGATATAAAATACAAAGTAACTATTCTATTATCAGAGCTAAAAATAAATTGTAACATTTTTTTTTAATTGAATAAAATGTTTAATTTATCAGTAAAACAACTACATGTGTATGATAGGTAATAAATAAAATAACATACATTTATAACTACATTTAAACTCATATAAATCTATAAGAATTTTTTAATAAAACTTTGTATGTACAATGTAATATCTTATGGATACTGGCCCCCATTTTTCTTTTCAATGATAAATATATATATATTTTTTATTTATCTATAAGATTGTTGATGAAAGTTAAACAATACAATAATTCCCTAAAAAATAAAAAAATATATACATATATAATTATTAAACAAAATAGTAAAATTTGTAATAAATTTAAGTTTTTATTTAACTTTTATAATCATTTTTGTAACTGAAGATGTAAACGTACACTTCAAAAACACAAAATTTTAAACATTAACGTGTCGTTTTAATTTTTTTAAATTTCATACGGTTATTTATACAAAAATACAACTCATTTGCTTTATTTCTTTTAATATTAATTGAAATCGATATTAAACATGTACTTTTATTAAAAAACAACCCATTTTCACACCTTTTATTCTTCAAAACCACTCGTTTAAGTGAACTAAAACACCTTTCAGTAACCTTTTTTTTTAACTTTTTCATAAATATTTGATACTACAGACATTCTTAATTATAGTTTTCTAAGAATTTTAAACTATGTGGTTCATTTTAAGGAAAGATATTTTTTGTTTAATGTACATTTATTAATTCAAAATAATAATTGCCCATAAAAACTTAATGTAGTTCATTTTTAAAATATAAATTTTTAGAAAAATGTTGGTTAGTCTAAGTAAACTGTAAAGAATTAATTTAAAACTACATGTCAATCGATTTATTTTTGATACTGTGTATAGTTTTGGAATAATTAAAATAAACATTTTTCTAAAAATAAATTTAGATTCAAGAGTTAAACTAATAACTATTTATTCGAGAGTTTTTAATTATTTGAATTATTAATAGAAATTCATTGGAATTGTCTTCTAGAAAAGTTAAATTTATTAACGGCGGTTTTTTCAGTAACTAACAAGTTGTTTTATAATATACAAACATTATTTTCTTTGAAATCAAATTCTATTATCTTATTTTATTTAACTGTATAATAGCTCATAAAGTTATAATTTAAGCTTTCATCGTGTATTAATTTGCATACCAATAATAATTATTTCTGTAATCATAAATCATTCATGATTGTACATTGAAAAAATACGTTTGTACTTCAGACTAATTCGTAATTCCGGAACTATTAAAGTAGTAATACATTCAGAGTTATAAAATTATGAAAAAAATATCTGACCTCTTAGGCAATCTTTTTTCAAATCGCGGTAATTTTATACTACAAAAGTAGCATAATGATATCATAATAAATGTGTATAACGTGCACAAATATTGAAATGAAAATCATTTGAACTGTTTTATCCATTCATGCATAACTATCAGCCATTTCAATTTAAAAAATTGTATACTTTTTTATCTGACGAATTTTGAGAATAATATTTTTTTATAGATGTATTTTCAGTTGGTTGCCTTTGCTAAAGGCGAAAGTTTTCCCTGTCACCACTGCCACGTGACACGAGTCTCTAATGACAGATCAGACCGCCGTTGTCCCACTTTATTCCTTTACAGCATTAACCTTTGCCGCATTAGATTATTCAATTTGACTGATTCAACCCCTCTTTCCTTTGTAATAACATCATCGCTCCCAAGGCTCATCATCAAACCCATTCAACTTGGATTAGCTTACGCTCAAAAGCATAAAATTCGACCAAGCAGTTTAAACTAATAGAATTCTGTAGATTTGAAAAAAATATTCAATTCAGTTTTATTTTTAAATATTTCATCTACTCACAGAGCTCATGAGATCTTGTCAAATTTATTTTATAATTTTATAATTATTAGTCGTTTTAATTTTGTGGTGTACATATTATTCCAGAAATTAAAACATAATTTTCGATTTAAAGTAACTGCAGAATTGAATAGAACCAATTTTATTTTAATAAAATACTTTTTTAATTAAGAATTATTTTCTTAAAATGAAAATATTCGTATTATTATTCAGTACACATAGTATGCAATCTATACTCAATGGTATTATCTAAAATTATTTGTCTTATATTGAAACTCATTAAAATAAAAACAAGCGGGATATGTGAAATGATTATTATATAAAACAAATCCACTAGATGGCGCACTATGAACTTTATAAAGTTTCTATTAATGATTAATCAGAGTAACGTTATATTCTTTAAAAGTTGAAATCAACAGTTTCTTTCAAAATTATATTTGAGTCGTTTAGAATGCAAAGGATCTTAAGTGACATTAAAAAAAAAATCAAATTATATAAACAGTTAAAATGAAAATTAGTAGTTCTATTTAATGAATTAAATTGGAAAAAATACATAAATATCATTATAAGTATAATTATTTTATGTCGTGTCATATGGAAAACGAACACACAAAACTTGAATTTCTCAAAATTAAAAAAATATCATTCATACCACTTGAAATCTAAGCGCTTTAGTTTATACAGTATTCCAAAAGTAAAAAAATCAAGTCAATTGTAGGAAACCATGAGAACACTAGAATCCCTTTTTTCACTTATTGATCACACTATACATTAAACTATAAATTCCATTTTATAACTAAAACTACTGTACCTCATATCACATTTTCAATCTTCCTAGCAACATTTTATAACCTTTAGCCGGTAAAAAATCAATTGACGTTTTCCTAAAATTATAATTTTAATTTATTGATAGTGAACAGACATTAAATAATATCATAGCGCTTCTTAAGATTCTTGTGTTTAGGAATATCTTATTTATCGTTTTCAATTTATCCCAAATTATTCTCAAGTAGTTGGAATTAAGGCGAGAAAAAAAAAGAAGAAGATCGTTTTCAAATTATGAACATCGTTTTGTGTTGAAATTTGGACGTTAATACGTGTTTTTACTATTTGAATTTTGAATTTGTCATGGAAAGAGTAGAACTCTATACCGTTCAACCACCAAAATTATTTGTTTATATTGTTAGGACCATTTCAATGGAAATAACAATATAAATATTTTATTATAAGCGTTAATTGTTAAAAAGGTTTTCGATTTCTTATTACTTTATTTATTTATATATAATTTCAAGTATTTAATTTGAAAGCAAACTTTGAAAATCGTTTATTATATAGACAAAAACTATAATTTGTATTAATTTATTATTTATAAGTGATTGATATACATATTTGTGAAAACACAATAAGTTTAAAAAATTAACAACACGTGTCATATCTCATGATATTGTACGTATTGTTGTTTTCTATTCATTTAAAATGTTTTATTTATATATTTTTGTATAATCAATTTTAGAATATCTTTTTATTGATTGAAACATTGTGGTTGTCTCATTCATGGTTAATTTTTATTTTTTATAAAAAATAATAATAACAATAAATAAATAGAAATACTCTAAAGGGTGATTTAAGAAATACTAATTAAAATCAGTAACTATTTTAAAATAATTTATAAAATTTTATTATTAATAATAAAAAGAAAAAATATAATTTAACGTGACAATTCGCGAGTTATTTTTAAATCCTTCCCAAATTTAAAAATATTTCTAAGTAATAAAGAGTTAAAAAAATCTTTTCAACAAGTAAACGAATAGGCATTATTAAAAAGCTCATTAATACTCATATAAATATTTCAAAGAGCGTATAAAATTTATGATTGGTGTATTTTTAAAGAAATTTGTATAATTATTCATACTTATTTATAAATTACTCGATTCTGTAATACTTCCGTAACACAATACCGATACTACCTAACACAGCAGAAGATGTCTTAACTGCTACACAATAATAACAATGTACTGTAGCCGTATTAGTCTTATTCATTACTCTATAATTATTTGTATTTCTAAGTGAATTTCAATGGTTCAAAGACTAGCTGAATTATTCAATAAATGTTTATTTTATTCGAATTGAGCATGTTCGTCCATCGCTGTATTTCCCCTTGGAACCTCCGTTAGTATTTAGTGTAAACAATGCTTGTAAAGTCAATTTTATTTAATATGGTGACAATCCGTACACAACACATGTTCTAGGGATTTCTCAGATAATCCTCTCGCGGATTACCACGTCAACCACCGGCTTTGGGGAGAGTTCATGAAAACTTCACGCAGAATCAGCGTTTAGACTCTCTTGATACGTGTACACAGTAGTTTCAAGGCTTACAATAAACGATAAATGGCGTTAAACTGTTACGTATAATATAATACACACATGCGCATAACGTGGAAAACAATAAAGACCGGAGAAGAACGGCAGTGAATAATAGCATTTTTGGCCACCCCACTAGCGAGTGCAAAAAAAAACGTCACTATTATTTCCAGGGGTTTGCATGAACATACACACAGGATAATATGCATTCGACTTTGACACACACAAAAGGGAAATCACCATCTACTCTGTTCCCATTATATTTGACAAATTCGACGATAAATTACGACCATTTACCGTTTTTATTATCATTTGTTATTTTCATACATATCGTTTGAGAACAAATGTTTTGTGGCTGCCAATCCATACTAGAGAAAATTACTGATTTAAACCAGTTATAATATCTCCGCTCCCTTTTAATAGTATTATGACTATTAATGTACGATTATAACGTTTTCTAAATAATATTAAAACGATAAGATTCAATATTGCAGTTGAATACTCAAAGGTATAGTCAGATATGCGCTCATAAAAAATTATGTCCAAATTTTCAAATACATGTATTAACGCATATAGTACAAGGGAAAATTTCATTAAATATTGGTGAAAATATTTTATTTGTATATGTTTTTTCGATATTATATGTGAAAAC